AACAGGCAGTTGTATCGCTGCCAATATGGAGACTGTGACCGAAGTTTTAAGGACACAAAGGGTTTGCGGTCTCACGTGGTTCTCAAACACACGGACGACCACTATGTCTGTCCCATTGACGGCTGTGAGCGCCGGTATGGAGATCATAATGATTTGAAATATCATATGAGGACTCATTCGAGTGAACCGGCCTTTCCATGCCGTCGTGATGGTTGTCCTGAAGTGTTTCGTTCTGAGCATTACCTTAAGAAGCATCGGGTGTCTGTCCATAAAGACAGACCAAAGGTTAAGAGTCAAAGACCTACTATGGCGTGTGAGTGGCCCGGCTGTGATTACAAAGCCAATAAACAGCTTCTACAGGTGCACAGGGATTTGCATACTGGTGCCAAACCGTATGTATGCGAATGGCCTAATTGTGGTAAACGATTCCGATTACAGAGTAATCTGAAGGACCACAAGAATGTACACAATAACCTCAAGCCGTATGAGTGTCAGTGGCCGGGCTGTCAATACAAGTGTAATAATAGCGGGAATCTCATTAAACACGTCAAACATATGCATCACTAATAAATCTAAATGTGTTTATAATCTATGATTTTTAAATATATTATATTAGAGCCTCTCATTGAAGCTTCTGTTGAATGAACAGTGTATTTAAATATTAAATAAATTCAATTCAATTATTATCAAGTACAATTTGTTCACGTTTATTATTCATAGATATTTTATTTCTCAATTTATTTTTTAATTAATTTATAATAATAATAATATTTATTTGCATAAGCAATGAATTATATAACACGTTGTAATAATTTAAAAAGTTTATAAGCTTTTAACGCCGACTAAACAAATTGAAACATGATGTTAGTTTTAAACTAACTTTACAAACTAAATATTTCATTTTGAAGTTGATTGAAAAGTTTTACAAAGAATTCACTAAATGGTATATAAAAGTCATATGAGAGAGCGCCTCATATTTATTTAACTTTTCAAATAACTTTTTATATGAAATTCTATTTAAGTTTTAGTTACTGCAAAATAATGTATAATTTAATTTCAATTATACACTTTATTCACTTTTTAATTTCATAATTAAAAAAACAAATAAAAATTCTAAACATTCCTTTATATTTTGTTTAAATATTGATTTATTTTATTCATTCACTAGTGATAAACAAACAATGCACTATTTATGACCACTATTTTATTTATCAATTTTTAGCTTTGATAAATTATTTATATAATTTATTTATGTAAGTTTTTAATTAGATTAATATAATTATCTAATTTTAAAGTGGATTACACAATATAATTTAAATAACTATAGATAGACTTAATGTTAAACATTTGGCACAGTAAGTCAGTAATTATATAATTACAACTAGATATTATTCTAGTATAATAATACTATATTCTATAATTGTTTTTATATTATTTAATTATAGAAATGTTAAATGTAGCATAATACTATGTATATTTCAAAGGCAGTGTCATATTGTGATACTATTATCAAATATAAATTTTATTTATATTAAACTCTATATTGTACTGTAGTCTCATTTATTAATAAAATGTTTAACAAATAAAATGCAATACATGAAACAGAATACAGAAATACAGTATATTATAGATGTGTTTGTTTCTCATATTTATTTAAATTTAA